ACATGTGAGCGTGGCTCAGGCCGCACATTGGACGCGTCTCGGAGGAAAATCGGTAAGCGGGTTTTTAAGCGGTATGTGAGGCAAAATTTTTGCAATTAAAGTAAGCGGTATGCGAAATAATCGCTATGTGATGCCATCGTTATGCGGGGGTCCACTGTATTGCTAGTATCTTCCTGAGTAAAAACTGACAGGAAGTAAGTGTTGAAAATTTCACACATATCCTTATATCAGACCTGAGTTAGTCTTAGGTGGGTCTATCTTGTCCCTAATCTTACTTCTGTATATCTAAAAAAAAACTCGGTTTAGTCTTCGAATCCCTTGCAACTTTAGCCTCATAATCCCTTTTTGCTTTTCTTATTCCTTTTTTTTTCTCTCTCTAATTGAATACTATATTGATTTAACTGCCCATCCCCTCTTTTGATATGCCTATACATGTATATGCCTCTCTTTGAATGAATGAGATGTTTTAATCTATTGTTCATCCATTTGGGATCATTTTTGTTAGATCTAATTTCCCTACTTGGAACAAAAGTTGTCTTGGCAGCTCTGAAAAAGTCACATTGGCAACCAACACCACCTACTTGCCCCATAGTCAGGTCATCCCAATTTAGCCCACCCAGGTAATTTCTCAGTCTCATGAAGTCGGCCAAGCAGAAGTCTGGGACAGAGACTTGACTGCAGTTATCTGGGTAATTCCATGAAATATTGAAACTAAGTGATTTGTGATTGCTGTCCCCAAGCTCATCATTAACCTCAAGATTATTAATTAGTAATTCTTTGTTGGCAAGAACCAAGTCAAGCAGGTTGTTTCCTCTAGTTGGTTCTGTCACAAACTGTTTTAAAAAGCAATCTTGAACCGTTACTAGACTCAAGATTTCCTGTCACATTGTTCCAATCAATTTGCCTAAAGTTAAAATCTCCCATTAACACAACATAATTCGTCTCAGTATTTTATATGTTGTTATCGTGCCTTCCCTATTCCTCCTGTCCTCCAGTGCTGTTAGGTTGATTTCCCTTAACCTCTCCTCGTTTGTCTGAAGTTAAAATCTCCCATTAACATAACATAATTCCTCTCAGTATTTTATATATTGTTATAATGCCTTCCCTCTTCCTCCTGTCCTCCAGTGCTGTTAGGTTGATTTCCCTTAACCTCTCCTCGTAGAACATATTCCTTAGCTTCAGGACTGGTCTTGCGGCAAACCTTTGCACTTTCTCCAATTTCTTGATGTGCTTGATCATGTGTGGGTTCCATAATGGTGCTGCATATTCCAATATGGGCTTGGCGTACGCAGTGTACAGAGTTTTGAATGATTCCTTACTCATGTTTGCCAGACACCCATGTGCTGCAGCAGTTATTTGGTCGATGTGTGCCTCAGGTGATGTGCTCAGTATTATACTCACCCCAAGATCCTTTTCCTTGGGTGAGGTTTGCAGTCTTTGGCCCCCTGTCTGTGGTCTTCTTTGACCTTCCCCAATCTTCATGACTTTGCACTTGGTGGGGTTAAACACCAGAGCCAGTTGTTGGACTAGGCTTGCAGCCTGTCCAGATCCTTTTGTAGTCCTACCTGGTCCTCGTCCACTTGAATTCTCTGACTTAGCTTCATATTGTCTGCAAACAGGGACACCTCTGAATCTATCCCTTCCATCATGTCGTTCACATATGCCAGAAACAGCACCGGCCCTAGGCCTGACCCTTGTGGAACCCCGCTTGTTATAGGTGCCCTCTCTCACATCTTGTCATGTACAATCGCTCGTTTCTTTCATGTCAGGTATTCTTCGATCCATTGCAGTGCTTTTCCTGTTATTCCTGCCTGCTCCTCTAGCTTTTGCACTAATCTCTTGTGCAGAACTGTTCAAAAGCCTTCTTACAGTCCAAGAAAATGCAATCCACCCAGCCTTCTCTCTCTCTCCTGCCTTGCTTCTGTCACTTTGTCTTAAAACTCCAGTAGGTTTGTGACACAGGATTTCCCCTCTGAAACCATGCTGGTTATCATGTATAAGCTCATTCCTTTCTAGATGTTCCACCAGCCTTTTTCTGATAAGCTTCTCCATGACTCTGCATATTATACATGTCAGTGACACCAGTCTGCAGTTAACTACCTGCCTATCCCCTTTCTTAAGGATTGGGACTACATTTGCTTTCTTCCACACCTTAGGTAGTTGCCGTTTTGATAAATGTGTTGAAGACTTAGTGGTACACACAGTGCCTCTGCTTCCTCTTTCAGGATCCATGGAGACATGTCTGGTACCACTGTCTTTGAGGTATCTAGCTCACTTAGCAGTTTTTCATCTCCTCGGTTGTGTGTAGTGTGTCCAGCACTTGGTGTACCCTTCTATCCCGGTTTGCTAGAGTCCTTTCTGTCTCCACTAAAAGTACTTCCTTAAATCTGCATTGAGCTCTTCACATACTTCTTTGTCGTTTCTTGTGATCTCCCCTCCTTCCTTCCTCAACCTGATTATCTGGTCCTTGACTGTTCTTGTCCTCCTGATGTGGCTATACAACAGCTTTGCGTCAGATCTGGCTTTTGATGCTATGTAATTCTCATAATGCCGCTGGGCCTCCCTCCTTATCCATGTATAATCATTTCTGGCTCTTCGGCTAATCTCCTTGTTTTCCTGGGACCTTTGTCTTCTATATTTTTATATTCTCTAGTGCACCTAGGTTTGGCGCCTCTACACTTTTGGTGAACTAAGTGCTCGTTCTAGTCTTCCCACTGTTGCTGTTGTCCCTGGGTACAAACCTCTCCTCTGCCTTCTTGCATTTTGTGGTCACATATTCCATTCCATTTACTATTTTTTCCCACTAGTTCCTTTTCCCACTGTACCTCATGTAGGAAATTCCTCATGCCTGTGTAGTCTTCTCTTTTGTAGTATGGTTTCTCCCATTTTACATGTGCTGCCTCACTCCCACTTTTAACTCTGCAGTGCATTCAAAGCTCAGAACCACGTGACCACTAGCTCCGAGGAGCCTTTCATATGTGATGTCCTCAATGTCTGAACTACTTAAGGTGAATATGAGTCCAGCCTTGCTGGTTCATCTTCTCCACTCACTCTGGTAGTGTCCTTAACATGTTGATGCATGGGGTTTTCCAGTACTACCTCCATCATCTTAGCTCTCCATGTTTCTGATCTCCCATGTGGTTCCAGGTTCTCTCAGTCAATCTCCTCGTGATTAAAATTACCCACAACTAGCAACTCTGCCCTACTCATATGGGCCTTATGGCCACCTCAGCTAGTGTGTCCACCATTGCTCTCATCATATGTTTGTCTTGGTTTCCTGCTATTCTGTGGTGGGTTGCACATCACTGCAATCACCACCTTGGGACCCCTAGTCTGAAGTATTCTTACTATGCAGTCCCCTGCTTTCCTTCTGTCCATTCCTTCAATCTCCTCGAATCTCCACTGGTCTCTGATAAACAGTGCAACTCCTCCTTCCCCTCAGTTCCCTCTATCTTTCCTCAAGATCTGATATCCAGATGGAAAGATTACATCTGTTATCATCCTTGTAAGCTTTGTTTCCGTGAGTGTTATGTCTGGGGAGGCCTCCATGATTCTTTCATGCCAATTCCTCACATCTATTTGTTTCGTCTGTGTTGGTGTAACATGCCTTCAGCTTCTTTTTCAATACTCACTCACTGTGTGTACGTGTGTGTACTTATCTATTTGTGGTTGCAGGGGTCGATTCACAGCTCTTGGTCCCACCTCTCTGGTCACTACTAGGTCCACTTTCTCCTTGCTCCATGAGCTTTATTATCTCTTCTTAAAGCTATGTATGAATCCTGCCTCAACTACATCTCTCTCCAGATTGTTCCACTTCCTGACAACTCTATGACTGAAGAAATACTTCCTACCACCCCCTGTGACTCATCTGAGTCTTCAACTCTAGCTGTGATCCCTTGTTGTGTCCCATCTCTGAAACATCCTGTCTCTATCCACCTTGTCAATTCCTCTCAGTATTTTATTTATTATCATATCCCCCCTATCCCTCCTGTCCTCCAGTGTTGTCAGGTCGATTTCCTTTAAACCTCTCCTCATAGGACACACCCCTTAGCTCCAGGACTTGTCTCGTTACAAACCTTCGCATTTTCTCTTTTTTTTTTTTGGCGTGACTGACCATGTGTGGGTTTCATACTGGTGATGTATGCTCCAATATGGGCCTGACATACACCGTGTCTTGAGTTTTGAACGATTCCTGACTAAGGTGTCAAAACACTATTCTTAGGTTTGCCAGACGCCCATATGCTGCAGCAGTTATTTGGCTAATTTGCACCTCAAATGTGCTCGGTATTATACTCACCCCAAGATCCTTGTCCTTGGGTGAAGTTTGCAGTTTTTGGCCCCCTAGCCTGTACTCTGTCGGCGGTCTTTTTTGGCCTTTCCGAATCTTCATGACTTTGCACTTGGTGGGGCTAAACTACAGGAGCCAGTTGCTAGACCAGGCTTGCAGCCTGTCCAGATCTCTTTGTAGTCCTACCTGATCCTCATCCGACTTAATTCTTCGCATTAGCTTCACATCGTCTGCAAACAGGACATCTCCGAATCTATTCCTTCCGTCATGTCATTCACATATACCAGAAATAGCACTGGCCCTAGGGCTGACCCCTGTGGAACCCCACTTGTCACGGGTGCCCACTCTGACACCTCGTCAAGTACCATGACTTGTAGCCTTCCCGTCAGGTATTCTCTGATCCACTGCAGTGCATTTCTCGTGTGGCGTGCGTATGTGCATGTGTGTGTTTCTAATAACACTGCAATAAGATTTGCTACTGAACCAGTACCTACAGAATGTACACGTTACAGTAATAGTGGCACCAAGCTTTGGAAAATGAAAGTAAAAGTACGGAGTTTTGGATCTACTACTGAGTAAATACATTCATTATTACAAATAAGAAAGTGTAAGAGTAAATACCGAGAAACTGGAAAAATAGACACTACATACGTGCTGTACATACAAATGAATAAGTTCAAGGGTAAAATAACAGAAGTTAACAGAAACTTACCTTGTTGGAGAACTGGATACTCAAAGAAATAGGAGAAAGCATCAGAGGCTTTCTCGACTGAGGCTTTTTCCATTGTGATGACTTTCCTAGACCTTTCATCGACACTGTGCCTCCTGATGACCGGCACTGTGTCGCTTGAGGTCCTGAACAAAGTCAGGCTGGAGACCGAGCCTCTCCTGGTTGGTGGAACGTCAAGGCATAATTTTCTTTTCAGCCTTGGAGTTTCTACAGTACTGGACTTCTTGATATTCTGACCCAAAAGATATAAATCGTTAAATGTTCCAGAAAACGTATTTCTCCTATTATCAAAACTGGATGTGAAATCTGACACACTGGCTCTCCGTTGCTGCAGCCGGAGCTTCAAGGACTCACTCCGGCTCGGTGGCTGGCTATCATTTTTTAGATTCCACGACAAGCGCCACATGTTGAAACGTTCAGTAAAGCTACTTCTCCTAGCTGTCGCAATGCTTTTATCATCATATGATACAGAACATCCACTCCTATTATCTTTGAGGGTTTCATCCTGTCCCTCTTCATTCACTTGTTCTGAGTCTTCATCTATCATGTTAGCATCTATTACCTCTATCCTTCCTGTTTTGCTTAAACGTATTCGTGAGGATTCTTGAATATCAACAGAGCCACGTCTACTGTGTATCTTTGGTTCATCCATACGACTAAAACTTGGCAAGGCAGACACACTATTATTAGTGTGTGTGTCTGTTACTGCATCGCCAGCCCATGATTCACTAACAGACTCCTTGTTTGTTGACACATCTACCTCATCTTGTGATAGTGTGGTCAAGTCTTTTGTACTTTTAAACCTGTCACAGACTTGTTGTATTGTGTCTATATCACTATTACTATCTGTTTTTTTTCCTAAGGAGTGTACCTCGCCCACAGTCTCCTCAACGTAAGAAAGCAGTGTTTTTGGTGCATCTCCGCCATTCTCCAAATTAGTATTCACATCAGAGGGTAGTGTAGCCACAAACCCTTTTATAATTCCACCAAATATTGCTGCCCCTCTTTCCAAACCTATGTCTTTTACATTCACTGGCACTTCATTTGGCGACTCGGCTATGCAGTGTCTGATGCTGCTTGCCACTGTCTTACTACATATATTTACTATATTATCAAATGAAAACCTTCCAGGGTTGCTTTTCCAATTATGATCCAGACTCAACGTCATAGCCAATGTGTTATCCAAAGATTCTTGGAATTTTTCATTATTTAGTTTTTGGCCCTGCATGATCTCAGGTTCAACGTTACACGTTTTACCTAACCCTGGCTGACTTTTAGTTTCACTGTCGAATTTACAATCTTCTGAAGTGTGTTGCCAAAGTCCTTCATCTCCAATGATTTTACTACTAGTTACCTTACTTTTAATCTCAGATTCTGCAGAGCTAAGAGGGCCTAACATCCATTCCTTATAATTTAATGTATTGTTTATGTCAGTATCCTGGGAGGCAGACCCTCGGGCTGGGTACCTGACAGATCGATTTCCACGGTGGGGATTGGTTACAGTGTGCTCAGAGGTGTATAGTGGCTTCTTTTCGCTCCTTGTTAACTCTTGTTCCATGATAATTGAACTTCTGTCATACATATCTTTGCTGATGCTACTGACAATCTTTGAATTATTTTCTGTTGATTGTGAGTTTGTTGTAGAAAAGCATGCTGGAGATAGTCCACTGTCTCTAACTTTAGCATTTAAAGTCTGTAAGACATCTCCGATTCCATCTTTCAAACTATTGTCAACTAGTGATTGTTTGTGTCTCTGCTCAGAGGTATTACTCATATTACCATTATAATCGTGGAGTTGTACCTCAAAGTCTCTCTTATTTTTTGCCTTGCAAACACTGTTCTTTTTCTTCATTTCATTCTCTCTCTTCATTTTTTCAACGTTTTCAGTTAAAACTGCGTTCTTGTGAGTTCCAACGAAAACTTCCATTTCAGTTGTCCTATCTGCCACGAACTGCCAGCATTTACCACTAATGTCATACTGCTTGTAGCTAATGGCCACCACATTATCATGCCCTCCAATATCATCCTCACTGTCCTCACTACTCTCCCCTGTCCGAGTCGTGTAATGCTTACTAACTGAAATATGCTTTGCTCTTTCTGAAATTGCATCTTTAATTTGAACTGGAGAAGTCCTGTGTCCTGAATTACACACATTAAGTGAGCTAATATTTAAAGAGGCTTTCCTGGATATTTCTTGAGCTTTGCTGTGTTTTGTCCCAGCACTTCTCAAGACGTCAGTGAGCTGGTCTGTACCGTTTGAACCGTCTGTGCCAGAGGTACAACGATAAGGCCTGCGGCTCTGACTAGATATGCTGCAAGTGGGCACTGGAATCTTAGTTTTTGTACTGGTATTGTGTGTGTTTGTGCTATTCCTGGGGCTATGACTAGGACTAGTATTGATCACGCGGTATAATGTAGGAATAATGGTATCGCTTACATTTTCCTTTTTCCTTAATCTCTTGGTTTTGGAACCAGAGTTACCTCCATTGCCACTCCTGATAACTCCCTCAGTTTGGACATTTACCTTTCTTCTGACACAACATTTTCTAACAAACTGCTGAGTGTTTTTACTTTCTGGTTGTCTTTCACTGTCGTTTGAACATAATCCAGAAAATTTTCTGCTGAATGTAGGTGTAGGTAGCGGGCTATCAGTTTCTACAAAGTTTGCCATGCTTATTACATTGTCATTATGCCAATTCACTGCGAAATTTAAAAAAAAAAAAACTTTCTAGATAAACATTTGACTGAGAAAATTAAAAACAATTAAAAGGTAAGACTATTTTTTAGCAAAAGACCTGTACCCCACCAACCATCTTAAATAAAAACTTATTCTCAACGAATTTGAATAACTAAGTGCTTATTCCTCTATCATCCGCTGCTCTAGAAAACTCATGTTGATGTATATACATTTGATATACCTTTGAAGAGTTTCGAGAGTTTAACTCTCAGAGCCTGGCCATGGGTCAGGCTTGTCAGTTGTTTGCCTGATCAACCAGGCTGTTGCTGCTGGAGGCCCGCTGCCCCACATATCCATCACAGCCTGGTTGATCTGGCACCTGGTGAAGATATTTGTCCAGTTTCCTCTTGAAGGCTTCTACACTTGTTCCAGACGTGTTTCTGATATCTTCTGGTAAAATGTTGAATAGTCTGAGACCCCGGAACCTATAAATTTTCAAGTCATATGAAAATAATTTGATTTAAGCGACCTAGAATTCCTTAACACACTAACGCTTCACAAGAACCCTCTGTAATACACCAACACACAAATTATACCAATATAGTTCCACCCTTATCACAGCTCTGTATTACTTGACTAAATATCGGAACAGTAGTGTGTGTGTGTGGAAGCTATAAGATACAATATAAACTCATATGTAGTGCTAAGATGATCATCTTCACTAAGTCACTTGTTCTCTCCCTAGGCTGGAATACTGCTGCTCTACACTAGCGGCCTCTTCGAAGGCAGCCGAGACTGCAGAGCTAAAGAATGGACAGAGAAGTTTTATATGTTTAAATTCAGTCAAGCATTTTAAATTACTGGAAACGCTTGTAGTCCACTGACCTGTACTCCTTGGAACACAGCCGAGAAATATGCATCATAATTTACACATGGAAAAGAATAGAGGGATCTGTCCCAAATCTGCACACATTAATCACTCCCCACGAAAACACAAGACTCGGCAGACTGTGCAACATACCCCCAATGAACGCAGTGTCTGGGGCCCAAGACTGTTCAACAGCCTCGCCTCATACATACAAGAAATTACCAATAGACCCCTGGCTGTGCTCCAGAGGGTACTGGACAGATACCAAAAGTCAGTACCTTACCAGCCGGGCTATGGTTCGTACATTGGATTGCGTGCGACTAGTAGTAAAAGCCTGGTTGATCAAGCCCTGATCCCTTAGACCTGGTCTAGGGCCGGGCCGCAGGGGCGTTAAATCCCGGAACCTCTAGAGAGGACACACTGCAGTATCACCCGTCGTCCTGATCTCTTTCCCACGTAACAAATTTCAGTTTTGCTGCAGAGAAACCCTTGAAGCTCCCGTAGCTAATAAACTCTTACTGGAAATGATCGACATCCTCATTGTCTTAATGAAGTCTATCAATTCAGGCTGACAGATTTTAACACTAATTATGTACCGGGCCCATTCTGCATGACTGAGCATGACAGGGAAACATACCAAGCTTTTGTTTCCACTGTGTAACTATCATATCAAATAGGTTAGTAGTACATTACTAATGTATTCCATTATGCTACATAAAAAATTTAGAGACTCGTACCCACCACACACTTCTCACCATCTCCCTCAACTGGTATCTCACTAGTTTACACTGCCTGTACCTTCGTCATTACATAAAAACACCTCCTTAGAGTCACTAACACCTCTACTCGCATTCATACTTCAAGTTAAATTTCAGCAAGATGATTCATGTTAATTATTATTATATATAGTAGTGCAGACGTTTCTCCCACACTGTTTGACATGAACACACTAGAAACATCAACCACGGCCACAGTGGAACATGAATTGTAATTTATCACTATCACAATTACATCATTTTTTTTTTTTCATCATTGTTTACGGCGGGCATTTTTTATCACTGAAAATACCGTCGATTTGTTCACTGATATTTGCAGTGCGAGAATTTCTTCGTTTTCCATTCATTTTTTGTTTTATATTTGCTAAGATAAATTGTCTTTCACATACACACCACCTTAACAAAAAAAATATACACCAGACAACGGTAGATGGAGGTGGTAGAGTGAGGCACTAGACTAGATGGAAGACGAACAATTAATCATCACCAGGAGGGAGGGAAAGAGACACCCGCTTACTGCCGCACTGAAACAACTTTTGTGGTAGATATGAGCTGCTGCCCAGGATACTCCCTCACTCCCCACTCCACTCCCCCAGCTGGCCGCACACCAGCAGTACCACCACAACACATACCTCAGCCTCCAGCTCATCTTACATCTTATCTTCCAGCTCCTCTCTCCACTTGGACCACCTCACTTCCCTCTCCACATACCTCATGACCAACTCCAAAAAGGCAACAACACCTATCCTGACAACGAAGTAAAGGACAAATAGCAGGTATACCTTTACCTTTGGTGAATCCCGAGAGTTTTTCCTACTACCAGAGCCCGGCTCGTTTGGTGCTTGCCTGGTCAACAGGCTGTTAGTGCTGGTAGCCCGCTGACCCACATATCCATCACAGCCTGGCTGATCTGGTACTCGGTGAAAATACTTGTCCAATTTCCTCTCGAAGACTTCTACATTTCCTCCAGTAGCGTTTCTGGTAAGACACTGAGTAGTCTGGGGCTACGAATGTTGATATAATGTTCTCTTATTGTTCCCGCTGCACCCTAGTTTTCACTGGGTTTATTTTGCACTTCCTCCCATATCTCTCACTCCAGTATGTTATGGCAGTGTCAACATTTGGGACCAGGCCCTCAAGTACTTCTTGATTCAAGGCAGGTGAAATTGCAGAACTAGAGAATGTACAAAGAGCCTTTACTGCACGTATAAGTTCCATCAAACACCTTAACTACTGGGAACACCTGGAAGCACTTGACTTGTACTCACTAGAGCGCAGGCGAGAGAGATGTATCATAATCTACACCTGGAAGATTCTGAAGGGACTGGTCCCTAATATGTACACAGCAATCACTCCATACGAAAGCAAAAGACTTGGCAGGCAATGCAACATACCCCCAGTGAAAAGTAGGGGCGTCACTGGTACACTACGAGAAAACGCAGTAAGTGTCCGGGGCCCAAGACTGTTCAACAGCCTCCCACCAGCAATAAGGGGCATTACGGGAAGACCCCTGGTTGCCTTCAAGAGGGAGCTGGACAGACACCTAAAGACGGTGCCGGATCAGCCGGGCTGTGGTTTGTACGTTGGACTGCATGCCGCCAGCAGTAACAGCCTCGTTGATCAGGCCTTGATCCACCGGGAGGCCTGATCGTGGACCGGGCCACGGGGGCGTGGAATGCCCTCCATGTAGAGTCCAGGTAGGTATACATTATCATGTATTAGATATTAGAGCCAGCAAATAAAACCCCCTTAAATTCCACCAATACGACATTTGTCTTTGCAAACATACAGGGTCTAAAGCCGTCAAAAAACAACAAAATTCCTTACATCAAGGGACTGCTCACGGAGTCAAATGCAATGTTTGCAGCATTCAAAGAGACCCACATAAAGGATCATTATGAGAACGAAATATGGATCCTAGGTTATAACCTATTCCGATGCGACAGACTAAACGGGCAACAAGGGGGGGAGGGGGGATTGGCCTGTATGTCACAGAGTCGCTCATTTGCACAGAACTACTAAACACCTCAAATGATGTAGTTGAAGTTTTGGCAGTAAAGATCGAGAACCAAAACCTTGTCATTGTGGTAGTATGCAAGCCTCCAAATGCAACTTCCCAGCAATTCCAGGAGCAGCTTGAGAAAATTGACCACTGTCTAGAAAATCTCCCAACTCCTGTCCCAAACATCTTACTACTAGGAGATTTCAACCTGAGACACCTAAAATGGAGGAGTACAGCAAACAATGTTTTAGCAGAGATCACCCCAGGAGGCAGCTCAGATGACAATTCACACACACAAGAACTATTAAATCTCTGCAACAAATTCACCTTAAACCTTAGTAGAGCCTACAAGATTAGAAAATACGCTGGACCTCGTCTTCACTAACAATGATGATCTGATACATAATATAACTGTATCAAAGACAATTCACTCAGATCCCAACATAATAGAGGTACAGACATGTATGCACAGGGCTCCGGACCAGCAAAATGTGAGCAGTCATGAAGGTCTCTTCACGAAATTCAATTTCAATAACAAAAACATACAATGGGATCAAGTAAACCATGTTCTAAATGAAACAAGCTGGGAAGATATCCTAAACAACGCGGATCCAAACATTTGCCTTGAAAAAAATGAATTTTGTGGTTCTTGAGATCTGCTCAAGACACATTCCATTAAGAAAAAGAAAGAAGATGTAAACTAGAAAGAGACGTTCCCTATACAGACAAAGGAGAAGAGTCACAAAGCTGCTGAGTGAGACTAGTATATCTGAAATACGAAGGGAGGCACTAGTCAATAAAATTGCAAATATCGAACTTAAGCTGAAGGAATCTTATAGGAGACAAGAACCACAGGAAGAATTAAAAGCCATAAAGGAAATTGAAAAAAAAAATACTTCTTCTCTTATGCCAAATCTAAGGGAAAAACAACATCCAGCATTGGGCCCCTGCTTAGGCGGGATGGGACATACACAGATGATAGCCAAGAAATGAGTGAGATACTGAAGTCCCAATATGACTCAGTGTTCAGCGATCCAGTGCCCACTCTAAGGGTCGACAATCCAAATGAACGAAACCCAAAATTTGGTCATCCCAAAACTCTCGGATATTATTCTAACTCCATAAGATTTTGAAGACGCAATTAATGACATGCCCATGCACTCTGCCCCAGGCCCAGACTCGTGGAACTCCGGGTTCATCAAGAATTGCAAGAAGTCCCTATTGCGTGCCTTCAGCATTTTATGGAGAGGGAGCATGGACACAGGGGTCATCCCACACACACTAAAAACAAGAGACATAGCCCCACTCCACAAAGGTGGCAGTAAAGCAATTGCAAAGAACTACAGAACGATAGCACTAACATTACATATCATAAAAATCTTTGAGGTTCTAAGAAGCAAGATAGCCAACCACCTAGATACCCATCAATTACACAACCCAGGGCAACATGGGTTTAGAGCAGGTCGCTCCTGCCTGTCCCAGCTACTGGACTACTAGGACAAGGTCCTGGATGCTGTAGAGGATAAACAAAATACAGATGTAGTATACACATACTTCGCAAAAGCACTCGAAAAGTGTGACCATGGTGTAATAGCACACAAAATGCGGGATAAAGGAATAACGGGAAAAGTTGGGAGATGGATCTACAACTTCCTGACAAATAGAACACAAAGTAAACAGAGTAAAGTCCCAGGCAGCCACGGTAAAAAGCTCTGTTCCACAAGGCACAGTACTCGCTCCCATTCTATTCCTCATCCTCATTTCTGACACAGAGATGTAAGCCATAGCTCCGTGTCTTCCTTTGCGGATGACACCAGGATCACCGTGGCAGTGACCTCCATCGAAGACACTGCGAGACTCCAAGCGGACATCAACCAAATCTTCGAATGGGCCACGCAAAACAATATGAAGTTCAACGAGGAGAAATTTCAACTACTCAGATATGGAAAACTTGAAGAAATTAAAAATGTATCAGGGAGTGATAATGTCTGAGGATCTCGCCTTCAAAGACTAAAACAATGTATCTACCTCATCTGCTAGGAAAATGATAGGATGGATAATGAGAACCTTCAAAACTAGGGATGCCAAGCCCATGATGATTTTCTTCAAATAGCTTGTGCTCTCTAGGCTGGAATACTGCTGTACACTAACGGCCCCCTTCAAGGCTGGCAACACTGCAGACCTGGAGAGTGTACAAAGAACTTTCACGGCACACGCAAGTGCGATAAGGCACCTAAACTACTGGGAACGGTTGAAGGTCCTTGATCTGTATTCCTTCGAACGCAGGTGAGAGAGATACATGATAATATACACTTGGAAGGTCCTGGAGGGATTGGTACCAAACCTGCACACGAAAATCACTCCATATGAAAGCAAAAGACTCGGCAGGAGATGCAACATTCCCCCGATGAAAAGCAGGGGTGCCACGAGTACACAGAGACAACACAATAAGTGTCTGGGACCCAAGACTGGTCAACTGCCTCCCAGCATACATAAGGGGGATTACCAATAGACCCCTGGCTGTCTTCAAGAAGGCACTGGACAGGCACCTAAAGTCAGTACCTGACCAACCGGGCTGTGGTTCGTACGTCAATTTGCGTGCAGCCAGCAGTAACAGCCTGGTTGATCAGACCCTGATCCACCATGAGGCCTGGTCTCAGACGGGCCGCGGGGGCGTTGACCCCCGAAACCCTCTCCAGGTATCTCTCCTCCGTTCCAGCGAGTACATATTTAAGACTAAGGCATTCCCAGCAGTTTAAATACGTTATTGGCTCTCTGCGGGCCGTATACGATTTCTATATCTGTTCTAGCTCTGATATATCTCCTGCCCTGAACGGGTCCGTCAACAATGAGCAATATTCCAGAGAGTACAAGCGATTTGAAAAGTCTCACCATTGGCATTATTTCCCTTACTTTGAAAGTTTATCTCCCTGGCTGTCGTGACACTCGTGTTCTTTGAAAAAAAGGTCAGCTGACATAATTTCTCCCAGGTCTTGACGTGTTCCCTTCGTTTTATTTCATGTTCTTCTTGAGTTTTGAACACAGAGTCCCTTTTGAGTTCATCATTCTTTCCATACCTAAGCAGCTGGAACTTACCGCTACTGAACGTCATGTTCTCCACTGCCCACTAGAAAACCTTGCTCACGTCTCCCTGCAATTTTTCAATACTACAAAGGTGCCTTTCATACTTATTTCAGTGTTATCTGCAAATGATGATACAAAACTGTGACAGGTGTTTTATCTATGTCTGCCATGAGGGTAAACAGCAGAGGTGCTAGGACAGTGAAGAAATGGAAGGACAATGAATGAAATTCTATAGTAATAAAGGGAATACCAAGATGATCACGATGACATCATAATAGATAATGAAGATCTTCATAAAATGTGGTCTGTATACTTCACAACAATTCACGGGAAATGAACAACAATGTTTTAGTAACGACAGTTACATAAATTTACATCAAAGTTCTAATTGCAAGGAATAGCTATGTAAGATA